AGTTTTAGTAATCCTTTCCCCATGGCTTTCTGGAGAAGAGTTTAAAGCAAAGCCTTGAAATCTCACAGATTTACCTTTCTGCCCTTTATCAATACAAATCTGTCTTCTCTGTCATGCTCTGGAAGTACTTCCCCCAGTCAGCCTTTGTTTATGTACTTCTCCAGAGACACCAGGAACTGGAAACCTGAATGTGCCTACCTGCAGGGAAAACTTATATGGAGAGCAACAGGAATGGCAGTTACAGCGTGGCACAAGTAGAGGGGAGCGAGTGTGTACATGTTCTTGTGTTCTGGGACTTCTTAAGAGAGAAATTGCTGCCTGCCATTCTTTCTAGGTTGAGAACACCACATTTCCAACTAAGAATGAGTTTTTTGGTATGTTGTGTTTTGTACCTCCAGGTAGCCAGATATGTGTCTGCTTTTCAAAGTTAGAGATCTTCTCATTTTCAAAGGAGACGTTCTGTCTCATTTTACAATGAAAGCAGCATCTTCTGTATTTTAATGTCTTGTAGTTAATTGAAAACCACTCTGAGACATCTTTAAATGTGCACTAATACATGCACCTGCCAACATCCTTTATAATAGTGTGGGGTGTTGTTTTGATTGCTGAAGATCCTTATTGCTTGCCACACAACCTTCTGGGAATATACCACAAACTTAGTCATGTCTTATTTTAACTTGACTTGTTACAGAATGTTGGGGGACTGCAATGATGGAGTGTCCTATTCCAACTGAAACACCAGTGAAGACAGTAGTATTTAATCACTTGAAATCTGAGTATGCAGGTGTTAGTGCTTGTGCTCCTGCGGAGATTACCATAGGATCCTTAGTAACTTCAGGTTGTCAGAACTTCCATGATATTGTATGTTCAAAGAGACAGACCTTCCAATACCACAGTGCCCCCTAAAACTAGGTAAGGGCATAGATTTCAAGTTCAATCCAAATGAAGCAAACTTCCCGCTCCCACTGCTTCCTTCAGTGGATGTCTGTCTGAATTCTTCAGGATCCAAGTATTCATCAGCCTCATCTAAAATTTGTGAAGATCACAGTTCATGATGGCTTGGTGGATAAAAAACCGTGGTGGATAAAGGAAGGGCAACCGACGTCACCTGCCTGGACCCATGCAAAGCATTCAACGCCGTCCCACATGACATCCTTGTCTCTAAATTGGAGAGGCATGGATTTGATGGATGGACTGCTTGGTGGATAAGGAGCTGGCTTGGTGGTGACACTCAGAGAGTGGTGGTCAATGACTCGATGTCCGAGTGGAGACCAGGGCCAGTGGCAGTGTGTATGAAATTGCTCTCACCTGGGAAGCCTCAGCCCAGTATTCAGTTTGCTACCAGTGCCCAGCTGATACTCACCTTGCAACACCCTCAGCAGGGTCTGGCTTTCACTGGTCTGGTCGGGCATGTTGCAGATGGAAACGCTTTTATGAAAGTACAGGAAATGGCATTTAGAAAGCCTGCGCACATTCTGCTTTCAGAGAGGTGCCACACTGGTTTCATTTGTATTTACAGTTGTCTGTAAGCCTCTGGAAAATGCTGAGTTCTTTCTGTATAGCATCTGGAGCAGGAGATGTTCTGTCATTAGCTTTATTGATACAAAGCTATATCCATTAAGGTAAGAGAATTGAATAAGCCATTTTAATAAACAGTGACTAACAATTTCCATAATCAGCAAAATATGTGTGTAGTTAAATCATTTGATAGTTATTTTACTTACAGCTCACAATTTTTGTTCACCATGATCATAATATAATGTTTGGCCTCAGAGAGAGAATCAAGCTGGTATAAATAGACTGCAACTTCTTTGCACCTCAGGGAACGGGACAGAGGGAGCTGAGCAGGAAGAGTTAAGGAGACTGAAGCACCCCGATAACACCACCCACTGCCTTGACTACAGTTGCTTAGTAGAGGCGCAGCCACATGGGTGGGCAACCTTCTGCCCATCTTTCTAGTGATTCTGTCCATTCTGGAGTTACACCAGCTTCCCTGAGCAAGGATTTGGCATCACATGTTTAGGCATGCATGTCAGTCCCTTAGTAAACCATCTCCCACTGAATTTGTTTGTGTACAAACTAGATGTGAGGTTGTTAACTGCAAAATTCGATCTTCTGGGACACACAGCCTCAGTATGATTCCTTTGTATTTAGTGAAGATGACCCAGTGTACTTAAGTAAGATATATTTCAACAGAAGGTAAAAAACCCTGGTAAATACCTAGCTTGTCTTAACCCTGATAAAAAGGTTTCTGGCATTATTATTATAGCTTCTTAATGTTTTTCTATCACTTAAATCATAATTAAGTTGCATTTACAATTTCCTTTCATTTTTGTCAGTCATTTCTTACTCAAATAAAGGCACCAAGAATCCCAAATCTTAGCAGTAAAATCTCAATTCCACAATAATTCAATGGCCTTGTATTACAAATAACTGATTACGTTGAGTCCCTAAGGGACTTAGTTTTTTTAATAAGTACATAGTTACACTAAGGACTAAAAATGTACAGAAAACTGGTTGCAAGTATGCGTAGCACGCTACTGGGTCACTCCTTTGTGTGTGTCATTGATCCCTATCTATAATAATATATAGAAGAGAAAACTTGAATTATTCCATGGTACATTACTGCTCAGGAAACTCTTTCAATTTTCATGCTGATGAAGTTACTATGATCCCTATCTATAATAATATATTCAAGAGAAAACTTGAATTATTCCATGGTACATTACTGCTCAGGAAACTCTTTCAATTTTCATGCTGATGAAGTTACTTAGAAAAGTAAGCAAATCCTTTTGCCTGAGCAGCAGTTGAAAATCTGTGTTGTGACTATAGTTGACTGAAGCTCAATTACTTTAATAAATGTATTCCAAATTTCATCTCGATTCCATTTGCAATTTAATGAACGGTTCTCACCTACTTGTCAAATAGGCAGTTCAGCTAAATTTATTAAGTTATTGTATAAACAGGGTATTGTGATGCCTGAATGGTGAAATATTTGATGTCCTATTCCAGCAATATGCTGTAAATCTGCAGCGTAGGAAAACACGTTGGTCACTGCTGTATTCAAGTCTGAATTCATTTTACTGTTTTCCTGCCAGGAGGCCTGAACCTTTAGGGTATTTCATAAGTATCCCAAAAATAATTCTATGGAATTGAGAGGAATTTTTTTAAATCAGGTAGTTATTACAGCTTTTCTATATGCTGCATTTCTGTTAATTCTATTTCTTTTTATGCACTTGAAGACTGTAGAGCTACTTTTTGTAATACCTCAGACTTTGAGGAAGTAAGTCATAGACTAAAAATGTTCATTTCCAAGTGTGCATAACACCTATTCCCATTGGTGTACGAGAATGATGATTGACTTTGGTGTACACATATTAAAGCCTTCTGTATTAGATATACCTTAAAAAAAACGTACTGATGATACTTGCCACTTCCATATACTTGCCATTTATGCTTCTTTCTTCAGTAATACTGGTTATGGCTGTTGGCATAAAAGAACTTTCTATTTTATCTTTCTCTACCACTTTGGTTCATGTAATAACCTCATTGTTCACAGTTTGTGGCATTATAATACTCAGCTACAGCAGAGGTTTTGATCTTAAAGAAGGAAAACATATCAGTGCATGCAGAAATGTTGAAAAGGCATTATGAAGGAAAAAACATTTACATACAAATATCTCGATAGTTATTAGAAAGGAGAGAGAGAAAACTACTGGGAAAAGATATAAAACAGGAATTCATGGCTACTAAATCTTTTCTAGTATTCCAAGAGAAGTCTGTTATGTAAAATGTTAGGTTCTTAGGAAAAGCATTAAGCCAGTATGTCATGACTCTGAAATCCTTATGATTTTCTGAAGCATGCAGCATTTCTTATCAGGAACATCTTATTTTCTTATGGGTTTTTTCTTCTTCCAAAGTTAGTATAGAAATATCTAGCAGACAGGTTACTATCTACCTGAACTGGAAGTGTTTTCAAGCTTGTATGTATAGTTGCTGGACTTAAAGAAAACTGACGTCAAGAAAATTAAAAAAAACATCCCATAACCATTAAATGGTGCAAGTGGTTTTTCCTCAAGGGAAGCAAGGAGGGATTAAACTGCTCCACTTTAGAATGAGTGAATTCAGTGCCTGAACTTTGCACCTTCTATGACCTTCAGTGCTTTAATACAGGTCTGGTAAGAAAAGGGAGTTATTCCTTCTCAGTAAAACAAACAAGGCCTAGCTTTCAAGCCTAGATTGTGTTTGAAAGGATCAATACAGCTTGATGATGCTTGATTCAAAAGTCAGCAACACATTAACTTGAAGGGATGTGTCCTATGCCTGCGTAGCAACCTTCTCCGACTTGGATCTGCTGCTACTTTCTTGCAAACGTTTTAATCAAAGGCTGTAGAATAATTGCGTGCCATATCCCTTTCATTGCCCTAGCCCACCATTTCTTTTTCCTTTTTTTTTTTTTTAATCTCTCTTGTCATCCTACAGGGAGTGCAGTATGGTTTTTTCTTTATTTTTCTCTTGCAGCAATACCCTGCCTGTTGTCTTCAGCTCACTCACAGGCTTCGCTGGCAGCTTCCCTCTTACTAACAATGCAGCCTTCTGACAGCAAGCGGAATTTAGCAGCTAAACAGGTAGCTTCAGGGCAGTGTCTGTCAGGCTGTGACAACTGAGTTAAGACAGTGAGGAGCCTGGTGGTCAATTGGCTGCTATAAATTAGAATTAGGGAGTTCTTAAATCAGGTCGTGGACAAAGTGATGCTGGGTTCAAGACATGCAACAGTCAACCTGTGCAGTGCCAAAAGAGATAAGAGAAAGATCTCCCAGTTAATACTGGGGAATTGCTGTCCTTTGTTGTCATATTGGAGAAGGAAATACTAATGTTGAACTCCAGAATGTAGAAGAATGTGAAATACCTGTTAAAAATTAAGTTGGCGGACAACAGAGAAATTAATTGATTTGATAATGTGTCTTTAGTGCACTGACCAACTTGTGATTTTTTGGCAGGCCTCACATCAATTCTGTGAAGCAAGGTAGAGCATACTTTCATACACTTCACCAAGAATCACAAGAGAGGAAGAACACACTGAAAGCAGACCAGCGGGCTGAAGGCACGAGAACTGCGTTCCAGCCACGCAAATACTCCTGTGATCTGGAGGAGCCAAAGGAAGAAATAAACACGTAAGTTAACTCAGAGGGATTTTGGTGGTCCGAGGGCAGTGGTTTTAAAACCCAGCAATTTCCAGTTTTCTGTCATTACTTTGTATTGAGGCAGAATATTAACATTGTATGAACTAGAAAGAGAAAATGCTTAAAATCTAAGTGACAGCTGTAAATTTCACAAGCATGTGGAAAAAAATGCTTGAGGTGCTCTTTAAAAAGGAGGAAGTTCAGAAGGCAGAAGGTTAGTGGACTCAGAAGAGGTTTAACAGCCAACTGAGAAGTGATTCTCTGAGGAGAAGAGGAGGAGGCCTGGCGAGTTTGTGGCAGGCTTTGCTTCTCACTATGGGACCACGGCACTGAGAATAGAAAGGAATGGCATTCTCAGAATACGTGGCTTCGCTTGTAGAGTGGGTTTCGCTAGCTCGGACCTGTTACTACCTTCAGGATTTCCCTCCATTTGATCACTGGATAGTCTTCAATCCTTTGGCTCCTGCTGGTCTCTTCAGTGCACCTCTAATGCCTGTTGTAATGCTGTAGTTGTCTTCCATTTGTTAACCCTCACTAGGTGATATGTTGAAATACTTTCTCACAGGACAGAGTAGCTCTTCTAGAGGTTACACACCTTTGGGAGCTTGTTGCATCAAAAGCTCAACTATGTGTAACAGTCTTTCCTCATCAATTTACTGTGGATTTTGTCAGTCCCAAGTACCAGCTTCCTCTCATTCTACTTTCTTCCATGAACTGACTCAGCTTGGAAAGCTCAAGTCTACAGAGTCATCTGAGATGCAATCACACCCTACTTACGAGTGGGACAATATATTACCATTATTAAAAAATAAGAAATAAAATCTTTCCTATTAGTATGAAACCCAGACCAAAGAGCAGATAAGTAGCACAGACAGGCTGAGAGGTTTTGAACAGAAAAATACTGTATTTACTAGAGGAGCATTTAATGTCCAGCATTCTAAATGGTCACTAACTGAATCGCTAGAGAAGGTGGGAAAGGACGAGTGTGTTACTGAGAGTGTTATGGAAGGAGAAGAGGTGTAGGGTATGTGGTCTGCCAGTTAGACTATGTGACCACTGTAGGCCCCTTCCCACTGAAAATACTCCATCCTTTCAGTCAAAGTATTTTGGAACCTTAGCCTTTAATGTCTGGGTCATCTGAAACTTTCTTCTCACCTTGAACAAGTGACCTATAGCTATATTATTTAAATGGCACTTGGGAGCACGTTGAACCTAGGTTAATGAAGGCCACATGAGCAGGATTATTTAATTAAAAAAAATTGAATACATATGAACCTGCCTGAAAGCTTTTCATAAACTCCATGCTTATTATTCTTTTTGATGTGTAACTGTTCAATCTCCCCATAACTCGGCTAATCCACATTTATTGCAGATAAATAATTTATATATACGTATGAAAAACACCATTGCCTTTATTGTGAGCATTCAGGTGACTGAAGTAATTTATTTTGTTCTATAAGGAAAGGCTTCTTTCTTCAGGAAGGCTGACCTAAAAAAGTTTAACATTCCTCTTTCCTTTAGGAAGGTACACCTGCCTGCATAGACAAAATTATCTTCATTTAGGAGTGGCTTCTAGCAGGAAAAAAACTTGTACTGGTGCAGTGTATACCAGGCTTCTGGGTGAAAGTGACTCTGCCACTTGAATTCTACCTCTGCACTGAGGTTTTTGCCAGTTGTAAAAATTTATTTAAAAATCTTAAAACTAGCCTGAAAATCTACCCTAGCAAGTGTTTCTAGTGTAAGCCTGGTATCCTTTAATATTTTCACTATGTTGCTTAAAACTAATATTGATTGAGAGTTTTTCTTTTTTCTAAAAATGACCTCTAACATCTGCCAACATTTCTAAGAGGAAAATAATTAAACGTAGTATCAGATGCTAAAATTACGGGGTCTTACGGAGAGTTTTCTCACCCCCAGGAGGAGCTGGGTGGGGCAGGAGCGCACACTGAAACACGTGTGAGACAGGAAGCGCGTGGCTTTGGCAGGCGTGCGTTTACTCGCTCACACTGTGGCTTAGGCACATGCGGGAACCCTGCCAGCACGGTAGTTCTGGTGGTGTGCTGTTACACCTAACCTGTCTGCAGTGGTAAAAACCCGCCTAGGTACAAAATACAGATCATTATCTGTTGTGGAAACTTGCTTCACTCTTAGGTTTGAGTGCTGGCTTCACGAATTAGGAACTTCATGGAATAAGAAAGGCTCTGAAGCAGTGTTAAACTGCTGGGGCACAGAGTGCCTTGTTAACAGATGATGTCAGGCTTCAGTTTTTTCATGGTTTGCTATTATTTTCATTTCAGTTTTTGCATGGTTTTACATGCACAGTCTCCAGCAGTGGATGTAGGCCTTTCCCACTCCCTCTTCCTCTTTTTCCCTATAAGACAACAGCAAATACTAAGCCTATACTGGAACTTCTTTACTGCTGTTACATAAATTGTAGCATTTGGTTGTTACATACTATTTTAATTGTATCAACGCTCTAAACTTGGTATCGGTTTCTTATCATATCAGTAGACAAAGGAGAAGTAAAGTTCCCCTCACTAGCAGGAATACAGACTGTCAAACACTTCAGCGTGTGTACAGTAGTCCCACTGTCTATTCTGGCATTCTGTTCATTAGGATTACAGAGAGGAGAAAATTGGCAGTGGGACTGGAGGAAACACAAGACAGCTGTGTTGTTTCAAACAACAGTCAGTGGAATTCATGTGCCCAATCGTATCTAATAAATACAGATTTGCAGTTACAATTTATCTAAGATTATCTGAATAAAGAAGACCACTTCTTGAGGGTTTGTGTAAGAAATTTCTTTTGGCACAGCAGGAGCACCTGCCAGGTTATATCTTTGTTAAATATCTCCTTTGTTACAAAAACAATATGCAAGTGTATTCATCTCTTAATTAGCTGCAGAAAAGAGACATATTGATCTCTATTTAAATAGGGTGCTAAGAGGCCCATGCCAGTGTTGTATGTACTATTTACAGCTGCTGCTTTGCTTTAGAAAATTTGTGTCAATGGAATGCTCGGGGTACACACTCCTCAACCCTTCTTCCAACTATTTGCAGATTTATAGTAGGCAACACTAAGCTGACACCCCCAAACTGCTTCAGATCTAGAAAGGAAATGTTAATCTGCAAGCATTCATTCATTCATTCATTCAGGAAGCCTCTGCTAAAGAAATCTGCATGTAGCTTTGAGACTCACCCACCACTCAGGTCTCAGTTAACCTCTCAGCTGGTTTTTTATGGCCAGTATCATTTCAATTTTTTACTAATTTATGATCCAGTGTAAAATAATTCATGTTGTACCTTCTGTGTGGACCTCCTGTCGTCTGTATACTGTCGATGCATGAAGGCTACAGTACCTCACTGTGCTTATTAAGCTTCAATCTCCATTGTCTAACACCAGGTGTGGGTAGTTATTTACAAACAGGAAAAAAGGCTGTAAACATTTCCTTTTCTTGCTTGGTAGCATTTTATAAACACTTTACACAGGTGTAAATGGCCAAACAGGCTTGTGGCAGTGAAGAAACAGTGCCCACAGTCTAGAAAGAGCTCTGTTTTCTGTTACATTGATTTGGCTAACACGAGACTCATTTTCATTGGGGTGAATCTTTTCAACTAAATCTTTATTATTTTATGTACACACAGTATGTTATCCCAGGAAAAACTGAAGAGAATTTGAGGCACAGCTTGAAATTGGGCACTGTGTGTGTGTAATCCCAATGATGCCATTGGCATGATACGAACCCAAAACAAGCATAATGCGGTGTCAGCAGTATCTCAGCATCTTTCTCAGACAAATCAGTCACCTTATTGTCTCTGCCCCCAAATTTGATTTCACATAAATGCTTAATTCCTAATAATAAGTAGTAGTATAAATATGTAAATACAAATAATACCACATTTATAATTCATAAAGTATGGTCAACATATTAGAAATAATGATATATCCTGGTAAACATAAATAACATGTTTTTAATATTAATAAATGGAGTAATGCACAATTTAGAAATACACCTAAGTGGTTTTTTAAAGATGAGGAGGAGAAGGGGGAGTGTGGTGGTGTGAACACAAACAGTTTTATTGGCTCTGTCTTTATTTCACATACTCCTGTTTTTTAACTTCAGTCTTTGTTCTTTCCCACAGTTGCTCCACAGATGGCAACCACCTCAGAGAGTCAGGGAAGAAGCAAAAAATGATGACCTTACGGTCTTTCACTCCTGTTCATACCAGTGTCTTGATTCCAAGCCTCCCTGGAGCAAAAAGGTATATTTGAAGGCAGATTTATGTCCTGACCTCCTTGGTAGGGGATAAGTAGAATTCCCAGCAACACACCCCCGTAACACATATACCTAGAGTCACTGTTCAACTGGTGAACATGTATCCGGGGAGTTTCAGGACGTGATGGTGAAACGTTCTGTCTTTATTAACAGCAACAGTTAAATTCTAACTTTAAATGATTGAATCGTAATGAGTTACTGAAAATCCCATGTGTGCGTGTGTACACAAGCATATTTCACTTGCCTTGCTGATCTTGACTCAGAACATTCTAATTTGCATTAAATTTGCTTATGCTTAAGATCAGGCTCATTTTAAGGAGAACCTATCAAAATTAAATTTTAACTTGCCTAGTTTAAAAAAAGAAAGTCCTGTGAAAGAGAGAGGAAGAAGACAGTATGTGCTGTGTGCACTTCTATGTATTTTGAATTAGTCACTGATATAAACTCTCTGTTCTGAGTTCATTAACCCAGTTGCTTACCAAAAATGTTTTAACATAGAAACGTTTGCATGTGGAATAAGCTAAAATGCCAAAGATAATCTTAGTTCAGAAAAAGTTAGGTCCAACTTTTAAAACTCACATGCTGCTTTTTCTTACATGCAAAATCTTAAAGCTACTGCAGAATCCAAACCTTACAGGAATCTGTAACTTCAGGGGATAAATGCTGGAATTCTCATAGGTATGAATGCACTGAGCACATCACCAAGATAACTCCACTGAAAAGTTTCACATCCAAAATATGCTTTCGGGATCAGCAGTACGTAGCTCAAGGTGTCCCGAAGTCACTGGGACAATGTAAAAATAGTTTGCTACAGAAATGCTTTTTATCAGCAAGACCTTTTACTCTTAGAGGTTATCTGTTTCAGCCAACATGATGCCAGTTGGACTGTCTCCCTGACTCTGTAGCATAACACGTGTTTCTTTTCTTTGCAGCAAACGTCTTTTCCAACAACTGTGTGCCATACACTGGCTTTTGGAAGCTTTGACTCTGAAACCCAACCGTTCGATGTCTTCCATATTAACCTGTTGGAATCCATTGTATGTGCACAATGTGTGGCAATAGATGAAATGAGGAGTTTGGGACCTTTTCTTCTTTTTGTTGTTATTTCTCTTCTTTCAAGTAATAACTGTTTGAGTGAAATGTTATTAAGTCTGTGTCCTGCAGCGTAAAACAAATTTTGCATTGACTTTGCCCCCGTGCAGTCAGCAGGGAGTTGTACAGCCAAGACGGCAGCACAGCATGCTCGTCTGTTGTCACAAGTTGCAGAACTAGGAGAAAATACTGAGCTACCCCTGCCAAATCTAGTTGTGTTTTCTTTCCTTTTTACCTTGTGGTTAACAGTTAAGCAAATGAAATACGTGTACTTATATATGTATGCGTATTCCCATAGCCTTCTCTTGGAGGGTTGTCTCAGTGAATTCAACAGGAATTCCACATACATTATCATTACAGAACAAAGCTAGCTATTTTTATTCTATCAGTTACGTAGGACACTGCTGGGTATTTGTAACAGATGCATTACTTCTGAACTTCTGTACTGTTAAATGTAAATATGAACTTCTAAACCTTTTTAGTAAATATAATCCTGTTGACATAACATGTATTTAAATTATTCATGAGTGTTTGGGAAAACAATGCACAGTTTATGCTCGATTTGCAGGGCAGAGCTCTTCAGAGCTGTTCTGTTTTCTCTGTATATTCTCAGTCAAGACAAACTGTTCCTGTGTATAGCAGAGGAGGCAGAGTTGTATTATGTAGATTTGGCCTGGGAAGTTGGAGAGGAGCATCAGTCCAGTATGTTTTGTGGGTGGGTTTTTCCACCCCTTTACATGTGAGAACCAAACAATAGACTGAAATAAGAGAAACAGTTTGTCAGCAAGTCTCACAGATACAGACTGTCAGCAAAGGATAAATGCATAAGGCTCTGGATTCATTTCAGGTTCTGAAGCAGTGTAATCTCTTGCTGTATACTCCCTTCTGCTCGCTCTTGCTGTCTCTAACCACCACTCCTCTCCTTCAGTTTCATTGGAACTGGTCTGCATGCACATATTCTTCATTCCACACTACCCATGACAAATGAGGAATACATTTAGATCATACAGTCTCTGTCTGCACAGAGATTTTTTTTTTAATGTGGAGAAGGAACCAAGCTTAGAACGCTAATCTGCTTTGTACAGCTTTTGACTGATTAGATGTGGACTGAGTGATAAACGAGACTGCCTCAGCAGTGACCTGTTGTTATACCACCGCTGCAAGGACTGCAGCTTCCACATTTACCTTTGTCCCCATGATGTAACATTTAAACTTTTCTAGAAGTTCTAGAACTTCTGTTCTAGCTAGAACAGGTCTTCACTCAGCCAACGGCACTGAAAAACCAAACTTGTGTGAACCTGCTCTTACTCCTATCCACAAAATCTTGCTGTACTGGACAAAATTCTTCAGTACTTGCACAGAGGAAGTTGAGAGCATAAGCTGGCCCAGTGTATGCATGATAGTTTGTAGAATTATTGTGTTTCTTTAGCTGGTTCTTCACTGGTGACTGTAACTTACTCACGGTTTATACAGCTGGCATTTTCTTTCCATTTCTTACAAGCAAAGACATACATCATAGTAGCAATCAGCCACCGTGTACTCTCCAGTTATTGCATCTCTTAAAAGAAGCTACAGTGAACATAAGACTCTCAAAATGGAAAACTAATTGAATTGTTTTCACTTAGGGACCCTGGTGGAAGTAAAAAAACAGTAAAAGAAACGGAAGACGACAAGTTAGCAACATACATGTGGGAGGTCCTTATTACAAACACAAAGGTAACTTCAGTGTTAATTTCTTCCCTGAGACCTACTCCAACTTTTCAAGCATTTGTTTTGCTGCTTAACTGAACTCCAGGATACCACTTTTTCTGCTCTGGATCTTGTGATTGCAGAGTACTTGTCTCTCTAGGTCCTGAAGAATAACAATTTGATACTAGGCAATAGGGAGAGCAGTATGTAGCTGACTGAAACTGTGGCTTGGTCTCTGATGTACTGATGTGGGAAGAGTTAAATATTCAGCTAAAACATAATCAGCCTCCTGTTTTCATTTGCCCCCTTTTTATGCCCCGGAGTCATGTAGCTGTACGTGTTCACTCAAATAGGTCTTTTTCAGTCAAATGGGGATTTCAGATTGGTATCCTGGAGGCCTTATTCTAGTGAGTTCTAGTCATGGTTTGTTTGGTTGCCTTTTTACTCAGAATTTAAAGCTAAATTAGGAAACAAATTCCAAATGTTGAGGCCTTTAAAGAAAGCAGGATTCACTTGCCACATTGAAAGCAAAGCCAGGGAAAGGAGAAAAGAAGCCATTCAGGTGAAAGCCTTTTAAAAGAAAAATAGTCAATTTTCTAGTGTTTAATTTCCTATCAGTTATTATCTGTAACACTTGATTTTACTATCTTTCTGAAACCACAGAAAGACTTCTCTTTTTAAAACTGCTGAAGTGACTGCTAGAAGATGAAGAGGGATGAGTGATGTTTAGGAGTATAAGCAGGAGAACTCAAAGAACCACTGGGTTTCTCACTCTGTAGCACATCTTACATCTTCATCTTCAGCAGTTTGCCTAAGCTTTTAGTTCCTTGCTTTGCCCCCCTTGTAAGGTTAAATGAAACAAGGTTTCGGAAGTGCTTTTAGAACCCCAGGTGAGGCACTCCTAGCACTATGAGCTGTTGTTACATGCAGGCTATTTGCTTTTGTTGTTTTTCAATACCTGCAGCTTGTACCCTCATGACATAATAATTAAAGTGACTCAATGGAAGATTATGATTTCTTCTGGGGAATAAGCAGCAAAAGTTGTGAAACTTTTACAAGACAAAGATTGTGTTTTAATGCAAATATTCTTTCTGCTGTTAGCAAACAGACAGGGGAAGTCAAGTAGTCAAGTAAATTACACAGTTGTTTCTAAATAGCAGGCTTGCTGATTTTTCCATAGAGTCTGGCCAGTTCTCTAAAGTCAGGTCCAAATGAACGTGAGCAGAAGAAACCAAAGTGCCTGTCAGTCTCAATGTGTCTTAAAATTTGCATTGCTGAAACTTTTTTTTTCCCTCCCTGAATTAATGACAAATTTGTTTGTCATATACACTAATTGTACTTGAACGCTGCTTTCCATATTTGATATGAAGCTTGTAGAGGAAGTATTGGTTTCCTTCAGGGGCATTTCCTTTATAATATATATTGTTCTGATTATCAAGCCTGCTGAATTCAGCCAGCTTTCAGACCAGTTTTACATTCCTGACACAAGAAATTCATTTGCTATTGGGTGTTGGGAGGAGACCTGAACATTTATCAAGCCTCTTTGACCTATTCTTCCCTGTTCATGAGAAGGTTGCTCCGTCACCATCCCTCTCTGCAGCTGCAGTGTCACTCATTTGTTGGCATTAATGCTATAGCAGAGGTATATTGAGGAAAGATAACAAAATTAAGGAAGTCCTACCTGAGAAATCACTACCTTGTTTGAAGTCACTGGAGAAAAATCGACGAGGCTACAGGAGGACCAGAAGGATTTAATATTGGAATTACTTAGAGAAATGTGATTCTTTGTTGTCAAATCGCTATAGAAAACCCCCTCCTTTTTGTTAATGTTTTTCTTCTCTGTACAGAAACGCATCTGGAAAGCACGATTCAGTCCGCTTAGCAAGAAGGTGAACAAGAAATCTACACGGGGCATTTCTCATCTCAGCGGTCAGTCATCTCCCTGCCGCCAAAGCCCTTATGGCAGTGCCATTTCCACTGTCCTTTGCTCTGAAGACAACGTCAAGATTAACGTAGCTTCATCTGATGTTATGAGTGAGCCAGCACAAGCTGAAGAACCATCATCTCTTTCCCCCTGTAAGTTACTTTTCTTGACTGCCGATACCAAATGGATTTGCTTTCGGCGTTACTAGGGAGAACCTATATCAAAGACTCTGCTGGATGTACCAGTGTATTTGTCTTCAGGCATAGGGCACTTGGAACAACTCTCTCTGTGCTTTCCGCATTAGCAAATTGGTTTAAAGACAATATAATCCCGTGTGGATATTAAGTAAGGGTTTTAATTAATATTCACTTACAGCAGTTGTTTAATCTCTCATGCACATCTGTAAGGTCCAAGAGGTAAAAACAATGAACTGTTCTCTGCCATAACAACTGATCTACTGAATATGTATCTCATTTAGGGGGTTCTGCTTAAATTAGGGGTTTCTTACTCTGTATTCTTCCTACTTATCCACCAGTGATTACCTGTGCTTGATAGACTAACAGAACAGTTTGTTAGCTCTGCAGTGTTTTTCAGTACAAAGCTAGGTAATCTTAAGTCTTTTCCCTTCCTTCTAAGTAAAGCTGGACCAGAAAGTACATTGGGATTTAGTGCTGCTAATTATCTTTTAACTGATATTTGTATTATCATTATTAGGCTGACATCATGCTCTGCTAGACTCTAAATTACCACACAGGAAGAGGCTGTTAGAGTCATTTGGGATAGTTCTGAATGTTCAGTAGCTATCAAAAAGGCAAAAAGAACCTTAAGAATGAAGTGGAAAATGAAACATGAGGACCAGTTAAATAGCCTTAAACGTAAAGGAATGGGCACACTCTCTGGGTCTGAAAGACTTTTAGGTTGAGGCTGCCAGAAGCTGGGTGGATGTACCGGGAAGCTAGTGCTAATGTCGTATACTGCCTCCACAGCTGCGGCTGTCCAGGGCACAGGATGAAGATGAATGGGAGCAGTGGAAAATTCAAAGCTATAATTTCCAGTAATTTGTTTACAGATGTAGGTGAACAATTTGTTTGTGTGTGAGATGAGATTTGAAAATAATCTTGAGGGCTGTAACAGCTGGAAGCCTCCATTTGCTGTGGGACATAAATATCTTGCGGCATGTGTGATGTTCAGGAAGGATGTTTGGTGTACCCTCTGTAACCACATCTACCACATAATTGCCTGTGATTTCAGGGGACTGGCCCGAGTTCCCAGTCTGGTCCTCTCAAGGATTATGTGCCTAGCTGTAAATAACATGGGAAGTTAGTTTCTGCAGGGCAGCTCTGGAGCAAAGGTTGGATTCTGTAATGAATTCTGAAGCTGCTAGAATCATGTTTAATCCTGGATTCTGATTATGGGATGCTTCATGGACAAATCAGAAATGGATTACAAGTACAGCTGCCATGTAGCCTTATACCCCACATTTGCAAAGCTTCACGTAGCTCATACAGATGTAATTTTGAGAGCACACACAACTCTAACCCAGATGTATGTGTGTATATATATTTCAAAAGTGGGAAAGAGATTCTGTTGTTGGCAGATAATGAGTAGATACAGCTGAGTGTGACTCTTGGAGAAAGATTTCTTTTAAGGAAAGAATCCATAACACTACATAAAGCCTTTGTCCAACTGTAATTTAGATGTTGTTTGGGGACTGCTGCCTTAGAATGCCTGCTTATACAAGTTTGGTTTTCCAGTGCCGTTGGCTGAGTGAGGACCTGTTCTAACCCAAAAGTTTAAATGTTACATCATGTGGACAAAGGTGAATGTGGAAGCTGCAGTCCTTGCAGCGGTGGTATAACAACAGGTCACTGCTGAGGCAGTCTCGTTTATCACTCAGTCCACATCTAATCAGTCAAAGGCTGTACAAAGCAGATTAGTCTTCTAAGCTTGGTTCCTTCTCCACATTAAAAAAAAAATCTCTGTGCAGACAGAGACTATATGATCTAAATGTATGCCTCATTTGTCAGGGGTAGTGTGGAATGAAGAATGTGTGCATGCAGATCGGTTCAAATGACACATTTTCTTCCCACTGAGAAGTAAAACATGAGACCTGTATCTGAGAAATTAAACACTAACTGGATTTTATTCCCAAAGCTTTCCAGCTAGCAGTTTAGCTTTGAATTCTGAGTCAAAAACGTACCTTTAAAAGAGGAGGTATAAATATTTATGCAAAGGGTATTCATTATAAAACTTATGTCTGAATTCTGGGCATTTCTTTGGGACTGGTAAATGTCTCTTCAAATGATTTATCATTGTTAAATGATAATACCTTGCAAAATGGGTAAATGCTAATGCCCCATTTTACACATGATTAAGACATAGAAATCGGGGTCAAGTGAAATTACTACATTCTTTGCTGTTTTTCTCTTTTCTAATAAATGTCTGATGAGCTCATGGCTACACAGGTTAATATTTCAAAAGTATTATGAATATGGACAAGCTTGAGTATTTGTTTTCCTAATTTCTCCAGATGGAGAACTGGAACAGGTTTTAATGCTACAGAACAGAGGGCAGAGAGATATTGTACCCTCTGTTTCTGTTGATCAGCCAAACAGAGGAGCTATATCTTTGTGGTATTAGCCCTGGTTTGCCTCCTGTCATCTCTCTCCAAAATCTGCCAACAGGACTCCTTTCAGGAACTGCATTTAGACATCATAACTTATCCTGGACAAAATTTCAAATGCAGCCACTGCTTAGTATAGCCCTCTTCCCCCAAGAGCACTGTTATCTGCAGAGTGGGTTTCAGATATCCAGCTATTCAATCTGCCCAAACAGTAACCATTAATAGAACAGGCTGGGTTCTTCTAAGAAGGGTTCTGACACTGCAAGCCAAGAACCGATGAGATTTCTGTGCAGCTCAGTTGAGCAGAAGCTCCCTGCCCATATCGCTGTCAGGTTCCAGACCCTGTGGAGGTCAGCCTTTGGCTTCACACTGCTCCTCAGATCTAGAAGGTTCAGTGGCATAGCCAGCATCTACAGGCCTACACTTTGAGACTAGTAAGGGTCACAGTGGAATTATCATTTGAACCAGCCAGTGCTGGAACTTCAGAGTTTCTGACTCAGCCCTTGGCACTCTTGAAACTCCCCTGGCCACAGCTAATAGACAGCCTTCATTATAAGCACAGTTCTTCAAATTTTAGCCCATTAGCTGGTGCCCTGCAGCTTGGTCTATTCATGTGTTACATTTATAAATTCACAGTGTCATATTCAAATCTGTACTTTAAACAAGTAGAAATAGCTTGTGCTGCTATTTAACACAGCCAACGTTCAGCAGTCATCTTCTATTATACTGTATGTGGTGCTTCTCAAAAATGTTGGAGAAGGACCGTTTTAATTTGGGAATTACAGCTTCAAGGTGTTGAGTGCACAGTAAAATGTCACTTACGACCACGTAGGACATACTGAGCACCTCAGAGGATGACACAGAATTTGACAGGTAACACTGGGATTTTTAATAGCGAGTATGACAGTTGTTTTACTGCCTGAGTGATTGGAGGGAATAGTGCAGAGAAGATGGCCATCTCAGTGTGCCTCCAGAGGTTTGGCATCAACGCAGGAATGAAACCCCAGTGTGAAGGAAAACAGTGATGTCAATTTGAAGGAAAACACTGAGTTAAATGGACTTCCCAGATACTCAAGGGAGAGGAGAACATAAGCATTCACATTACAAGGCAAGAAAGACAGTGCAGAGTGTTGTTAGTCAGAGGGATCTGCTCAGAGGTGGATAATCTGGAAACTGTAGCCAGTGGAGGGCTACTTGAGGATATGTCTCGAAGTTTAATGGATGCTGATAAGGAGAGACAGAGAAGTAATTAGATACCTGTTGATGTGAAACACATTAAATTCCATATGACTTTTAAAAGAAGAATGTCCAAGTGATACGGTAGACTTAGACATTCAAACGACTTCACAATTAGGCCAGTAGAATGCTAACAGCACAGTACAGGAACTGAAAATAGAATTTCTGCATAGTTTGTTCAGATAAACAATACAATAACACACTGTTTTTATAAGCATCTAACATAAGACATATTTAGTATCTTCTATGTGATGGGTATTTTTCACAGCTGAAAGAACAAAGCTTATGCTTTCACCAGTGATTAAAGAATTGGGTACACTTGTGTTTGGGTACCTGAAACCACCTTAAAAAGCTGCATTTTTTTTTTTAAGAGACTTTAATTTTTAGAAACACAAAGTAGGAAGTTTCTTTAGGATGTCTCAGTCAGGCCAGCATATGTGACATTATCTCTGCAAGGAGAGGAGGAATGCAGAGTTGAGTTGGCGTGTTTTTACAGAATTTTTTATCAGTCCTACAGCAAGTCATCCAGAGAATGCGGGAAGAGATGACAAAAGGTGCCCGTCAACAAGATACGGTTAAGAAGACTGGACTGCAGCGGTACGTTACCTGATGGCTTTCTGAATGACTGGGAGAAGCAACTCATTAGGAGAGAGCTTATGCTTTCCTTCCCTCCCCAACCCCCTTTGGGTTTTTTTGGTCTCCCAAACAACTCAATTCAGCATTAAGCGAATTCAGATGATACTTACAGTTTATAGAATCATAGAATGGTTAGGGTTGGAAGGGACCTTAAAGATCATCTAGTCCCACCCCCCCTGCCAGGGGCAGGGACCCCTTCCACTAGCCCAGGTTGCTCCAAGCCTCATCCAGCCTGGCCTTGGACACTTCCAGGGGTGGGGCATCCACAGCTTCTCTGGGCAACCTGTTCCAGTGCCTCCCCCCCCTCTCTGTGAAGAATTTCTTCCTGACATCTAATCTAAACCTCCCTGATTTCAATTTGTACCCGTTACCCCTTGTCCTGTCACTACAGGCTCTTGTAAAAAGTCCTCTCCCAGCACCCTTGTAGGCCCCCTTCAGGTACTGGAAAGCTGCAATGAGGTCTCCTCGGAGCCTCCTCTTCTCCAGGCTGAACAAGCCCAGTTCTCGCAGCCTTTCGTCATAGAAGAGGTGCTCCAGCCCTCTGAGCATCTTCGTGGCCTCCTCTGGACTCGCTCCAAGTGGTCAATATCCTTCTGATATTGAAGGCTCCACAGCTGGAGTGGAGAATGGACATGGGTGGCAGAATAGCCTATATTACTGCTGGGCAAACAGTATCTATTTTCTGGAAAATACCCCATGAATTGTGCCTTTGCAAACAGAGGAGATCTTACGCTCTGACAGCTTTGTAGGAAAAGTGATGTTCTATCGTATTCCTGTAGAACTGTTTGTTTCTACCGCTGCGTTTTTCAGTGGTCTCTGTAACATTTCCAGCTGAGCTTACATTAGATGTGTTCCCTCATTGCTCAATTATGTGGTGGTTTCCACAGCTGTAGGATCAACATGACAAATCGTTCTTAAAATTAGACTTTGCTGAAGCATTTTTTCCCTTGAGCTGAAGTCAAGAGCAATAAATTTTGTACCTGGATAGCTCCAGCAGGTCTGTAATATTAAGAATGTTTTATCAGCACCTGTAGAATTTTCCACGTTCTGGAGAAGGCATACTGTACACAATTTAAACCTTATTGTGTTTTCCAGTTTGACAGTGGCTCAGAAGAACTACAGAGTAGGCATGCCATCCATTAAGGACAAAGAGAATATGATATCAACGAAGCAGAGGCCCAGAAGAGAAAGGTGAGGGTGCAGGTCTGGTTTTGAAGCACATTATACGCTGTATAAACTCGTTGATGTGTGGAAAGCATTTGGCATGCAAATGTTAGAGGGCATTCCATATGAAGCCAGAGAAGGCCAGGGCAACCTTGCAGCATATTTGGTACATTTCCATGCAGTGTGAAGGCACTTTTCCTGGAAGGATGTGGCTGGACTGAAAGATGGTAAAAAATCTAAATTTAATATCCCTTACAATTGTTTTTATTAATCCAATTCTTTCATAAATTTGATTAATTAAAAGAACTGTAAATGATACTTGGATTTTTACTGAGAATAAGGAGATCTCTAAATTTATGTGGGCTCACATTGCGTTACGTTCTGAGCAACACGAGTGCTTACCACAAAATGTTAATTCCACTTTCCTGTGTTGTTTTAGTTGCAGCTGCGATGTCAGCTCTTTCATTAAAAGTAAAGCTAATTTGTGTGCTGATAGGAGGCAGAAGTTCACAGCAGTACAAGAAGCAGCAGCTGGTCGCTTACATGACACCCTAGAGAGCCTCGAGAGTTAGGAAGAGACTGTTTTCTGTATACTCTTAAAACACTACGCTCCTTGCTTCTGACCAGACTTGTCTTCAGGCCTTCTAAAGATGCATTTATATAGATTGACATTAAAGTAAGAATATGGGGATGGTGAAGTTGAATGTATTTTTTGTACACAGGCAGCCATACAGGTTACATTTTTACAGCAGTGTTTTGGGACATTTCTGAATGACTTTTCTGGAAATAGTTTTGCTAAAAAGATTGGATATATTTACTTTGCACATCAAAGTCCTTTTCACCCAAAGACAATAAAACATTGTCCACGTGCAATCTATATGGCTGACCCATGTTTTCAGAGATCACTGTATTGTTCTTCAACTGTTCTTTGACCATGCTCATAGCAACAGTTACAATGTCCTCTCTCAAGGCTTTTTCCCCAGATCAGTGCCATTTCTACCTTGTTGACCAGCCAAAGCCTGTCATCCTTTTCCTTTCACCCAGAAACATTCATTTGTGGTGTTTGTGCAAATTCTTTTGTCTCAGTAAGCATCAGACAAGTACATTGCTGTTCTGAAGGGTTTTATAGGCAAGGTTTTCTTTTCCCCTCCCACTTTCTCCTTCTTTCCTTTCTTCTGTTCCATTTTCTACTTGGATGTTTTTGTCCCCAGGGCTTTCCTTATCTGTTGCTGGGTCCTTGTTTTCTTCCCTGAGCAGCTGCTGTGACTGCAGGAGGAACTAATCACTCCAGCATCCTGCAGCATGGATGGACAGTCAGATGGAAACTTACTACTTGTAGCTATTTTACCATTCTCCAGACAGCCACTGAAGTGTATTCCGTTTGATCTGCATTTGGAGAAGTAACCTCACTTTGGCAGGATATAGTAGAAATAATTTACCAGAAAGAAAAGCAGATGTTTATTTTTGTTATAACGCAGTAGTACTTCTTGTAGAAATGCATACATGAGCTCAATCTCTGGGTCAAAATTCTAGGTTAGGTCACTCTATTGCACCTCTCTTCTGCCTTATTTTAAAAAATATTGTACCTTAAAGCACGGTGCGGTGCTCGGTTTTAAGCAGTGGATACCGGCTAGAAAACGGAGGTTGAATTTCAGTTTAAATGTTTTGATTCTGAAATTTCTTACCTAAATCCTAGAGTTGATATAAAACATAAACACTTTTTAGTATGTTTCTAGAGATATGAACGTATACAGAACACTGAACAAGCAAAGTGTTCACAGAGTGAACATACAGTGTGTTCTTCACATTCCTGGTTTTCTGCTTTCCTTAGTATCTTCCTAGTTGCCTGTGCAGAAGTATGGTGACGTTTAAAATACAGCTTTAACTTCTAAGTTTTTTTTGTAGGAGGCCGGAAGAACGATATTATCAGCAATACCAGTCTTTGAAACAATTGAGGTATTCTAGAAGAGACATAGAAAGATTAAGACAGCTGTACATGAGATATAAAACAGAACCTGAAGAAGATGAGCTAAACTGGTAAGGAGGGACAGAAACCCTCAGTTCAGCTGAGATGGTCAGGGTCCCAGAGTTCTGTCTTTAATTGAAAAAGCTTTTTTACTTTTTTTTTTTTTTTTCTCCCCGAAGAAAGCATCAGAGAAACCATTGAATCAGTCTCTGGAAATGCAGGCTTTTCAAACTGGTAGCAACAAAAATACAGACATGATCTCTAGGAGCAGATCTCAGCCTGCTCAGCAAAGAGGTTAATTGGATACGGTAAGAAAGGGGATAAGGCAGAGTTCCTTTCCAGTGATACGGGCAAAAGCACGCCCTGCATTCACACACCCTGCCCAGTGTGCAGCTTTATAGGAGACTTCTGCCAGGAATTATGTAAACACACTGCACACCAAAGATGAGAGATACAGTATAACACTACATGGGTTAGATTCACAACTTCTTACCGAACCAAACATTCGCAGAACTAAAACTGATGGCAGAGGAGACTGACTCTAGCTGTCCATCTGTTTTGAAATTATTACTCTGCCAGTGTAGCCCATGGATAATGCTGCAACACTTACAAAGGCAAGTAATCACCTAAATGCTTCCCAGGACAGCAATTCTGCAGATTATTAGTATTTTATGTTTGAAAGGGTATTAGCTCTATCCAGCTTCCAGATTACACACCAGAAGCAGCCTACCAGAATACTTCAGCAAGCTCACAGCATGTTCCTTACTGCCTTGCCCATGAGAATTCCTTGGACATGGGATTACAGAGTATGCAAACTGCATGGAACATTTTGGGGTTTTGTTTTGGGGTTTTTTTCCAGCCTGCCCTCTTTTGCTTTCCTTGCTAGCAAGCCTTATGTCCTTCATAATTTGAGATAACAGAAAGTACATTTCTAATCTGAGGTCCAAAATGCAGGAGGCCTAGGAACATATCAATTGTGTGTTAATGAATAAACCTAATCTTAGCCTATCTTGGAGAACTCTGGTTTTAAATCAAACATATATGCTCCAGCTTTCCCCCAAATTTAAGATCTGGCACGTATATAAGCCCTGAAACTGGAGTGGATATGGTTTTGCTTTTATACTTAATAGTTCTGCTAGAAGAAGCCTTAATTTGGGCAAAGTTCCATGAGTATAAAGGAGGTGATACCCCAATATGACTTTTTACTTCCATAAGTAAAAACAGTACTGTGTTTTTAGTATGCAAGAACAGTACTGGCTGTTCCTTCATATGCAAGTCGTGCTTCCACAGTGAGGAGGCTGCTGTGACAGACAGCATAGCTTTCTGTGCCTGGCCTGTTCTGCAAAGTGCTGCCCATGGGGAGTATCTGACAAGGTTGGTCAACCCCCTCGTGGAGACACAAAGTCATGACAGAGGAGTTGCTTTCCCCATACCACTTGTTTCATTTACAGTAGGGCTGGGGTTTCCCAGACTCTTGCTCACAATGCCTAGCCAAGAGATCTGAATCGCATTAGGAACTCTTTACTACTATATGTTGTCAGTCTAGTTGTCTTATCTCTCTCATGAAATGAGAAAAACCTCAAGTAATATATGAACAGTGTGATAGGAGAGTACACCGAACATAGCTTCCTGTATCAAAATATCTTCATGCGTGGCTGGGTTATAGAAGGCCTGTGTGACACCATTACAGTAACCTGGGCAATGCAGCCAGTGAAAATAAGGACTTGGCTGTACAGCCATACGAGCAGTGTACTACTGAGTGTAGAACTGGCCTTACTGAAGATGAGAACCTATGTGTTTCATTTTTCACTGGTTTAAGGAGAAAATTCCTCACCCCTCTCCTGCTGTCCCAGTAACATGTACCCAAACTCAGAGGAGGCAGCACTTCCACTGATGTGCTGCCAAATCCTCAGCCTTTCGCAACGGAAGCCGCAGCACACCCCAGTCAGGCACGGTCTAGGGAGCTTTGGAACATCAGTCTCCAGGACTCTCAAAGCAGCATGGCAGAATTTATACAAACATAAAAAAAAAAAAAAAGGCAGTCTTTTCACAAGAGTTTTATTTTTATTGTAATGTGTAATTCTCCTTCTGAATCTCCGCATTTAGAGTGAAATGGTAAAGACTGCATGTTACAGTGCACTTACATCAGTGAGATTTATGTCAGCAAACGGAGAGAGGAGAATGATGATAGCACAGGGAAAAAGGATAGTAAAGAGAATCAGAAAGTGTGTCAGACTAGGCACTGATTGCACTGGAAAACCCATAGAGGCTAAACAAAATAAATAGAGAAAAGATGAAGAGGAGAAATCCGTAGTAAACTGGAAGCATTTGTTAGGATTTGATTATTTCCTTTCATACCCAAGTTTGTCATCCAAAATTTAAATGAACAATGAAGAAGCATCTATTTCAATGCCCTGCAAAGGGAATTGGTGCACAAGTCCAATAAAGTAAAGCTCTTGCATTATTCACTCGGAATTGCACAGAGTATTGCATTCCCCAAAGAGCCATTTTTTCTGTGGAAGCTATGGAGGCAGTGAAGTGGCATAAATGCCAGGCAAACCCAGAGGTATTAATCAGGTATGCATTTGTTCCCAGGGCTCCTCTTTTATTGCTGTTCTTCCTTCCTCTAAAGGTTTCGCGTGTTGCTTGCCAGACTCCCAGAGTCTGTGAAGAGTGACCATTATGTACAGAAAATATTAAAGAAACTGGAAAAATATGGCAAGACTCCTGGCTTGGAAATTCATCCAGACACCTTTCTTAAGGTTCTGGGTAATCTACAAGTGTGGGAGCTGTGTTCTCCAGAAATTGCTGCAGCTGTGGAGGTGAGAGGACTCCAGTTCTTGATTCTGTGTGTGATGAGGGTGGGGAGAGCCGGTGCCTGTGGGTGAACCTCATACAGTGGAAACTTGAAATCATTTAAGATCTCACTAAACGAAGATGCTACTATTTGCCTTTTACAAGGCACTTTGAACTCTTCAGAAGAAAGGCATTATGACAAGCAGTGGATTATTAATCAGTACCATCTTATTATTTTGTCACTGTCGATTTATTTACCGCCACAGTGGAAGTGGCACCTGTCACAAATTGTTAGGCTGCTTGAAGAGAAACGTTCACTTCTTGTGTCCCAAAAAGGCCTGTTGTTCCCAGTAGTTACATCCTACTGAAGTAACGAATAGATCACTGATCCAGGAACTCTGCAGATATCTTTGTTTTGCCTCACCAGCATTAAAAAACCCCTCCTGCTTCTCAAGATCTTAAGTGGGGATCAGCTTCTGTAGTTCTAGAAGCAATTGGCAGAAGAGGAAGGACGCAAGAAAGGGAAGAGAATACAGAATATATACTGCTGTGTAGTCTAACCAGGTTCCAAAAAAAAAAAAGGCAATAATGCCACCTTGTGGTTTTTCTTCTCATCACAGTTATTTCCCCTAATCTACAAGACCAACAGAAATCTGAGAGGCATCAGGTTCCTGTGCATCTTTCAGATATTGAGTGTTGTCGTGCCTTACAAAGGCAAAGATTTAGCACCCAACATGTCGAGATCAGACTACCTGTATTTTCGTGGTGCCTTATAAGAATAGCCATTTTGCCTTGTGCAGTCACTACCAGAGAGGCAGCCTTGCCTTTGTGTTCAGAATGTGTCTGTGTTGCTTGCTGTTCTTTCTAGATCTATTTCTTTGCAGTTTTTATTGTGTTCCCTTTATGTTTTGATCCCTTATATTAATGCCATAGTAATAGAGAAAAACAGACGAGCATAACTGTGTGTCCTGTCCACACAATTACACATCTTTCAAAAATAGCCACAGAGGAAGGAGGGCCTTGGTGCTCCTTCTGACTGCAATAGATAAAGGAAGCTGTTGCATTTTAGGAGCAAGAAGAGCATCACTGAATACGACCTGGCTGATAGTGACAGATTCCTGATTAAGTTCTTTTTTTAACTTCAAGTTGCTTTAATGTATGCACTGCAATGGTAGGTAGAAGACAGCTGTGAATTTAAAACAGACTTGACTTGGAAGGATTCAGGATATAAATTGCAACAAAGATTGTAGTTTTCCTTTTAATTCATTTTAGGACATATCCAACTGTTCTGAAAGTTGCTTTAAAAATTTTCTGGTGATATAAAGCACTATACTGTTTGCAGGAGCCATTGCGTTTGTTCTGTTGTCACAGTAGTCAAATTTTCCCATTTTCTCTCTCTCACACATAAATAAAAAACTCAGGAAACCCATTTTTCTGTTTCAGTTTGTACGTGAAAGTATTGTGCAGATGCCAGAGGAGGATTTCAGCGCATGGTTTCAGACAAGAGTAGCCTCCCTCAGTGCACAGCCCTCCACTGTTTAATCAAATGGCCAGATGAGATGGTTTTCCAGCTACAGCTGTCTTCAAGCAGAAAACTACTGCCTGTTGAGATCTGCCTCAAGGAAGACCAGGGAAGGGGAGTTAACTTCAGGAAGTCCCACTCATGCTCATGCTCAACTGGAATATGTCCTTCTACAGTGCTCTGCTGGCCATAGAAAATAAAAGTTAGATTGTTGCTCCTTCCTGTATCATGTCTTGGATTCACCGTCAATTTTCCATCTCATCTAACCATGTAGGATGAAGACAGTTCCTAATCACAGGTCAGACCATTTCTTCAGACATCCGCTAACAATACCTACAGAAAAACAAGCATCTGCTCAGTACGGATATACTGATGGCTATATCTAAATGACATTGTCTCTGGTCTTCATTTTAGCTTTCCTTTATAAAAAATATCCCAAACACAGGCTAGTTGTAAGATTTAAGCCAGCTCTTTTTTTTTGGATCAATTCTTTTTTGTAATTCAGATTCAGGTTTTGCATTGAGTTTATTATGTGGTTGTTCTATGATTATAGATTAATTCTTGCCTTATTAAAACCAGTATGGAAAACCCAAGCATCCTTTGATGTATTTCTCAGGTTTTCACCTGAAGATACATTTTCCCCGATTACCTTAGCATATGTTTGCCACTACTCCTCTGGGTAAGAGAATGACACCTCTGAACTTGCTGACAGTGATAAATACATGACCTTTGTGAACCTGTCTGGGCTTAATCATGTATTTCATGGTGGCTCACAATTGCTGGGTGATGGAATCACCCAGTGACCTTCTAAGCTGATGATCTGAATGAGCTGTGGTAAGCAGCCTGTCAGAGTTTCCAGAGGACCTGCTGGGAAGAAATGCTGTTGATCCTTCAGCTGCAACAAGGGGAAATAATGCCAGCTTGGGGTCCAGGTGAGCACAGTGACCACTGATGTGCAATGTGTTATTGATTAATGGCCTTATTTTGTCCCCTTCCTCATTATCAAGAGATGTTTTTCAGGGAAGAGAGCCAAGAATACAGATTTCTTTGCCTTGTCAAGAGATAAATGTTTTTCAGGGAAGAGCGCCAAGAATACAGATTTCTTTGCCTTACAGCCATCAGAGAAAAGTAAGCTCTTAAAGTTCTCTCGTGCTTCCACTTTTTCATGCCATATGTGCCGGTGGTAAGCTAGCATTTGTACAGGTAGTGAAGACATATTTTTTGCTGTCCATGCTTTTCTTTCCCTCCATCCAGCAGCAAACTTCCCTCTGAAAGTTTTTTGCTGTCCAGGCTTTTCTTTCCCTCCAACTCAATCCAGCAGCAAACTTCCCTCTGAAACTCCATAGGACCGACCTAGTGCTCAGTGAAATTGGTGGCAGTGCTTCCACCACATGAGCAGGATGAGGTCTCGGCCTGACCTGTGAGACCTGAACTCCACTGTTCACTGTATTCTTCTATTTATTTTCATTTCCTTGCAGCCCTCCATGGGTTTTGAGAAACCCCAATTCTGCTGTTGGTTTTGGATCATTTCACCATGATCTGAGTCAAGTTTCATTGTCAGTGCTGTGGTGTTACCCTGTGGTAACAGCTGATATTACATGCAAACCAAAAGGTATCTTAATTTAGCAGCTTGGGAGCTCCTGGTCGAGCTGTGGTTACGCAGGGTGAAACCTTCATTTTGGTACTTCCTCACTATTTAGAACTGCAGATGAAAGGTGGTGAGTTTTCCTTACGTACAAGAAATGGCAACAAAGGGGCTTGTCCTCAGCTGGAGTACATGAACCATGCTGCTGAAATCAAAACGTTCTACCAGCTGAGCATGTGCCCTAATGTGTCTGCCTGCATGTAAGATGAGGTGATGGTGCCAAATGTAATTAGCTAATGTCTGAGCAGCTCTTTGATCTCCCAGAGCAGCGTGGCAATGCTGAACGTTAGGGTCTCTAATGGTTTTGTGGGATTATGAAGTATCTTATGTATGGTTTTGTTTGACAGTGGCTCTTCTCTCTCCTGTTGCCACCAGGTAACAAAAGGTACTATTCTAGAAAGAAAATAGATTGTTTTTTCTCCTCCTCCATCACCAGCCTAATGAAAAATTTCCTGCTTCTTTTACTCTGAGGTGGAGATCATCTCTGGAGCAAAATAGCAACTTCCCTTTTCCTGCTTCCTGGCAAAGAGTTTCCTCAGGCAAGATCCTCAACCCTACTCAAGTCTTTGTCAGTTTAAAGGACTGAAAAAATACAAAGAGGTTAGAGGTCCGTACCCAGATATAAGACAACCTGGGTTCTTTAAACATTTAGGTTTTTTTCCTGCAGATATCTTGGATTCTCCCAACTACTTGTATGAATATCTCTCAATCTTTGAGTCAATGCTTGAGTAGACCCTTGCAAGGTAGGTTCAAAGCAGCCCATTTAACACATTTGAGATGGATGCACCGAGGGTCCAAATAATTCACTTAAAAGTCAACAGTGTGTGGCGGAGCTGCTGGATTAGTGTTCTGTCTGCTCATCCTTCCTCCCATTCTATTCTGGTCCTTAACAAGTTCAGCTAATGGGCCAGTCATTCACTCATTCCATTAGCCACAACAGGCCATGCCAGCTTGGCTTGGTCATGTGCTTCATGCACTGAAGGGATGTTTGGGGAATTCAGTCACTGAACTCAGAGAATCTTGATGCTGTTTCCTGCTGCTTGATGTGTTCCCAGTGTCATCCAAACACCACCCAAAGAGAATTGCTTGGACATTAGGCTGACAAGTGTTACAGGAAAACTCTTCAATTAAAATAGTAAGTAATGCCTCTTTCACCATTCACCCCCTTCCCTTCCACTTCACCATGTTCTGAAATTGTCATCTCTACTCTCTTTTTACAGGAAGGATTTCACCATGGTAGAAAAGCAGCCAACCATCCTATTATATCAGCAACAACACTCCCACTGTGTTTTATATTGGACAGAAAAAGCAGCATCTTATAAATAGGGATTATAAAATAGGCATTTCTGTCTTTCTTGCAGATCAGCTCTTTTATTGTAAAGAAACGTCACAATCATTGTAGGGACATTCAGAAATCAGGGTATGTCTTTCTAATTGGAAATTCAGCTTTCTGTATCACCACTCCCTTCTGCTGTCTTGTAAATTAATGGCACCGTGCCAGCATGTTAGAGATGCAACTATATTTGGCATCAGACGTTAATAATGGCAATTCTTTTTGCTAAGTTTTGATAAATATCACTGTTGTAGCATTGCAGAAGATAAAACTCAGGCTAACAAACCCCAGGATATTTGGGACCGGCTCCAGCTCCTATTAAGGTCAGTGTAAAGGTTCTTATTGACCCTGTTGAGTATTGATTACTGTAAAATCAGAATAGGTTGTTATGGCAAGTGCAAAAGCTGATCTTGTAACCAGCAGGTGAGTTTTTGTAGCCGTACTTTTTACTATGCAGCAAGTCTACACAAAGCAAAATAAAAATACACTTCCCACTAGGAAAGCTGACCAATGTCCAAGAGAAAGGGATCAAAGAGAAAAACAGATGTGACAGAAGGAATGCAGCTGCGAAGGGTTCTCAGATACCCCAACCTTAATTTCTTACCTCTGGTGAGATTTCTTCTCATGTGCCTAAAAGTAGCTGCCGAGGAGTGACCAGCGCTGGACTTGTACCAAGAACATGAGGTCATTGATCTGGACAGAGGTTTCTGTACAGACCCATTCTTCTTGCTGAAGTCCCCATCATACTCCTCTATCTACTGACTTCCAAAGGCTTTATTTCCTCTTTCAGAGGCCTCTTCAAGAGGCATTTTACTTGGACGCATGCCTGAGTAATGATTTAGTACTATTAGGGGCTGGTTTATGGAAAATAATATCAGAGCTGTTGTGAATCATCAGAGTAGAAATAATACCACCAAATGTATATGTGGATAGGACCGTTCTTCATCCACGGCCTGGAGGGCAGTGAGTGAAAGTAAAGCTTAATCTTTCCCACTTTGGCTGGAACAGAATCGCACCTTTGGCAGTGACAGCGGGCTCTGTATCAGGGGAGGCCAGCCCACCAGGTTCACCCTCTGGGGAGGCTGGAGGACCGGGTTTTGGAAGCAGACTTCTTACCCTCTCCATTTCTGTTATAGCCCGCGCAAGGGTTGGCGTGGCTCGTTCCATCCCACTCCTCGGTTCTTCTGGGTAGGAAATGTAATTTCCTCCTGTGCTTAAATTTGCTGCCCTATATTTGGGCACTTGTTTTTCTTTAGCAAAACCTTGGCTTCCTTGATTTAACTGGCTACTAGGCAACAGAAATCGGTGTCTAACTTCCTCCTGAAAAGATCATAAACAGCTGATCAGAGGAAGCTGGGGGTCATACCGGGGCCTGAAACACCATGATATTGCCCTGTTTCTTACACTCTTCTTAGTCATCTGTCGTTGGCCAATGTCAAAGATGGGATGTAGATGCATTTTGATTTACCTGATGCCTGTGATTTGTGAGAAAATTGGAGAGTGAGGGAAAAGTTGAGAATGTTTTGTAACAGTCCAACATACCAGTGTAACTGTAGCATGTTTGAAGTTGTATTTTTCTATTCATCAGGGTAAAGGAAGAAGAAAGGATATTCATTCAGGAAGCGAGGAGAGCTCTTTTTTGCTGCTATGCCAGAAGGGCAAGGAAACAGCAGCATTCATTGCTTTGAACCAGCCACCGAGTTCCATGATTTGAGGATGCCACAGCAGCTGAGTGACTGTCTTCCTCTTCACGGTAAGTGGCCAGTTCCATACTAAAGCGCGGACTCAAGGAATAAAAGGCAGATCCTAGATTATTCTGCAGTAGAGAAAGGAAATAAAGGTTGTATTCCACTGGAAGGGAAAGAATTTGCTCTTGCACAAAGCAGAACAACCTCAGTGCTAAGTCTTTCCCATCAGAATCCACTTTCCAGAGGAGCTGGCATGCTACAGCTACACAAACCTCCTCCAGGCTCCACACAGCTACGTTACTTCCAAGGGTGATCAGTCATGATTAGCATCCTCACTTGTCAAGATTCTGATTT